ACCACTTAGTTAAAAAAACAAAACAAAAAAACACTGTAAAGTTCAGAAAAACTAAACTGGAATCCAGCACTGAGGCACGTTCTCCCGGAATTTTGCACTACCATGTCATTGCGACCCTCTCAAAAATCCAATGAATATACCAAACCTTTAATGGCACATATGACATTTTAATTTTACCACTGTTATATATTAGTATTATAGTACTGCTTTTATATACACCTAAAATATATTGAATGATCGTTATTCATTGTGTTTGCCCATATTTGGGTCTTATAATTATATTCTCTTCTGTATTGTTATTGAAAAATGTATTAATAAAAACTATTTGGAAGAAATGTTTTTAAAAGAGAAACATTGTTGGACCTTGGGCACCAGCACAGCAAGCACTGCGACCTCCCAATCAGATTCCTCTTTATTCATATAGTTATCTTATTTGGCTGGACTTTATCTATTTTACATGAATGAGATCTACATCAATAAAATCCAGGATTTGAGAAGATATACATCCAAAGATATCTGAAGGCTCTTTATTTGGCTCCAAAGTGTGAGTACGCAATTGGTACCTAAATATACACCATATTGGGTTACATAGTGTTGCACTATGTTGTACTGATAGAAGATTTGAGTAAATCTTTGCGTAACCCCATTGCTAGAAGGGAAGTTAAGTGTTTTAATACATGTACTTTAGCTCATTTAAGCACTTTATTATCTTGAAAATTAGTGCAATTACACTTAAATAGACTTTATTCTACCTAAGCACTTTAATTGTGTGATATTGGGAAAGATGATGTTTCTTTTTGTTAAATCAGATGCTTCTGACAGAGAAGCATTAAATCCATTGTTTCACATGAGGAGCAATGAACACTACACGGCAGTGAACTTCGCGAGCGGTGATATTAGCTGAATGACAGCTCATCTCACCGCTACAGCCTGTCCACCTTGTAATGCAAGAGCAAAGGAGGGAAAGGAATGAAAAAGCTGGTACAAAATATAGTGTAGAGATGAGGGGACTTAAGGAATCTAGCTTCTCCTTGTAGGCGTGCTCAGTGCATGCTGATGATGGATGTTTTTTTTATGCACAAAACTAACATTAGGCATTCTGAAACATGGTTCCAAGCTAACAGAGTCATGTGTAATGGAAATGTAACTACACTCCTGGCTAATAATGATAATATCTCCTAATAGGCAGTGTTTCAAGCTGAAATGCTGCATATACCGATTGCTTCCACCTTGACCACTTCTAAAAGCAGAAGTGGTCATGGTGGGTGGAGTCTTTTGGTGATACGTCCAAAAACTTGACTATGGAGCAATGGAAGATAGTTGTCTGATGTGATGACTCATGTTTTCTTTTGGATCAGGTGAATGACCGGGTGTATGTGCATCATTTACCTGAAGAGGTGGCAGCAGAATGCACTATGGGAAGAAGAAGGCAGTGTTATGCTCTGGGCAATGTTCTGTTGGGAAACCTTGGGTCCTGGCATTCATGTGGATGTTACTTTGATATGTACCACCTACCTAGAGATTATTGCAGACCACGTACACCCTTCATGGCAATGGTGTTTCTCTGATGGAAATGGCCTCTTACAGCAGGATTCAGAAAGGTGTTGCCTTGGCTTCCAAATTCCCTAGATCTCAAGCCAATTGTGGGATGTGCTAGAACAACAAACCCATGGAGGTCCCACCTTGCAACTTGTTGGATTTAAACTACTGCTAACTTCTTGGTGGCAGATACCACAGGACCTATTCAGAGGTTTTGTTGAGTCCATATCTCAATGCATCAGCGCTGTTCTGGCAGCATGAGGGGGACTTTCACAATATTAGGCAGGTGGTTTTAATGTTGTGGCTGATCAGTGAATATTTCACAATAATTGTTTGTTCATGTTGGACATTGCACTGCTGCATTCTAAAATTTTGTGAACACTAAGCACTGATTAAGCATAATGAGTAATGCGTAAAATAGGCAATGGCAAAGTTAGCTAGATGGACCAGCTATCTTAAAATTAACTCAATAATGGCTTGCTAAAACCTCAAAGATCAACTTTAGAAAACTCATAGACATTCTTCTCGAACTTTAAATAGG